TTTTTTTTTTTTTTTGGAGACTGGCCTGTTGATTATGAATATGAACTTGGTAGGATTCTGTTTTGAAGATATGTGACGTAAGAGTTCTTTTCTATGTTCTGACATCTTTACCAATTAAAATAAAAAATAATAGATCATTGCATTATAGTTACAATTCTATTCCAAGTAAGATTAACTTAAAGTCTTTTGAAACTCGAAGAATTTTTTTAAATCTTAAATTTATTAATAGAGTTTATCGATTATCCTCATTTCTTGAAGCTAAACAATTTGTAGGCACTCAAGCATTTCTTGTACGTATGGATGACGCTTTGGAATTTTTCTTTGACTCCATTCATGCATTCCTATCTCGCATCTAATAAAATCTTGCAATATTTTATATTTACAACGCGTCTCTTGATTCTTTGTTTTTTTTTTTTTTATCTTGTCTTATCTTTTTGTGTCTTTTATATTTGTTTTTTCTCATTGTTTCTTTGCGTTTTTTTTTCTTTATTATTGTGCTGGCGTTCTTTATGTACTTTACATTATCTGTACACCAATAGCAATTAATTATTGTGCATAAAAAGTAAATATAAAGAGGATTCAGTGACGACATTAATATTTTGTTTTCAGGTGAGATAAGGATATCCAGAATTATTTTTCACTTAAGAACAACATGCGAATGTTGTGTAACAGTAGCTGGAAATACGTTTCACGGCTAAGCTGTCAGGCCTTAACTCGCTGTCAGCTTAATTAAATGTTCGAGGGATTAATGGGCGTTAATTTGAGAATTTTTACGTCGATGTATTTAAACGCCACGTGGAAATCGTCAGTAATCCTCGATACAATTGCGTGCTTTATTACATGACACTGGCGATTCGTTTCAATTTAATACATTCTCTGCTTGGTCAACTGCTTTGTCTGCAAGTGTCTAACGTTCGTTGCCAAGCATGAGATCGCAAAGATAAGAATTATATAATTTCTTCGCTAGACGAATGGATCGCACGAAGTAGGAAGATCCAGAAAAATTATATCGTATATAATGTTTACGTTTTATCTGTCGCATTTATCGATTAAGAGGAGGACTGCCAAAAGAAAACAGTAATATAGATATGAATTTCTTACGATCGGTCGAAGGTAACTAAGCACTAATAGACTCTCGTACATTGCCAATGTAATTTTAATAATAATAAAAACACTGTAACAATAAATTGCCAGAATTAAATTATCGTCGATCGAATAAGTTTCAAATTATGCAATTAAAACCAGCGAGATTATCGGGCTATCCGTAATTCCTTTTGTGAAAATACGCACGTAATAATGGAAACAATGGAAATAAGCGACTAGAAATCAATAAGGCAATAGCATGCATTATCAATGAAACGATTACGTACTGCGTGTATATGCTGGGAGAGTCGTGCATGTGCAAACACGGAAAGACTAATTGATATTCGCGACTATTTAGTCCCAGCCAAGAAATGATGCTTCGATAAACATCAAGAGTTGCTTGTTTTCATAATTTGTTTAATCTTTCATTTGGCCTGATAAACTTTCACGCCGTTGCATGGAATATTTCACTGTCGTATACTGTTCATACGACACTCACAGTTAAAAAATACTTGTTCTAACGATATTAAATGGCTTTTCTAAAAATAGAAACGCGCTGACTAGGCATGTACATACATACATATATATATTTTTTAGTATTGACATTTTTAGCTTTAGCCATCTTAGCGTACCGAAACGTAAAACGGAGCGGCAAATACGATCGTGCCGATTACAAGATGCGGACGGACATCTGGTGAATTTTGAACTTACAGTTAGATGGAGGGTCGTGCCCTAAATAAGTCACCTTGCCTGTATTACAGATTTAGAGATTGCAATATAACGGGAATAGTGCAAAGTATATTTGTATCAAGAATATCGTTACTACCGAACAACTCGATACTAAGCTCTCTATCGCAACAAAAATTATGGATTGACGTCATTTCATATTATTTTAACACAGGTTCTTCATAGGTAGCGATAGCGGGTTCTCCCTCGCATATTTATCGTGTCATGGCGTGTATATTAAAAAGGATCTTAGGAAGGAAGAGGAAGAAAAAGTATGATACGAGCAGTTGCATCACAACGTGTCACAGTTATTGTTCGACTCATTATCAATGTCATGATAGAGAAAAAAAAAATGAATTAAACGTATATGTTTTGTTGTATGACGCAGCCAACCAGACTGGTTGGACTAGACAGATAAGATAAAAAAGGTATTTGGACAACACACTGCAAAAATTTCGATGATTGTATTGATCACGCTTAGGTACGTGATCAGCCATTTTCCAATCACGGACTTGAATCGATCAATTCTCATGCCTTATTTCATTTCAGCCTAGCACGTATCACGGTAACAGTAATTGACCTATTCACCGATGGATTGTAAATGGACGTGCAAGTAGAACACCTACCGGTATACATGTATTTCCTATATCATGGCGAGAGAATACCACCAAGTTTATCCCCTAACGAACTCCGGAGATATTTCATTGTATAACGTCACGGTTTTAATTAATACGAAACACCGCCGACGAAACGATACTTATCGTCATTTCACTAGAAATTTCATTCGCATCGTGGCAATTTCATTAGAGAAACGGTGTTTGAATATTGACTCGATTGTTCCTCGTTCTGTGTTTACAAGCTCTCGAGAAATTAACTATATTAGTAGTAGGTACCACATGCGATATCAACATGTTAGGTCAAAGGTTAATTTTTGAAATTGGAATCGCGAGAACACGCATGTAATTAAATTAAATTAAATTTTCCTCTCTGACGTATTCTTAGCTTGTTCAAAGTTTCATCGATCGAGTTTTTAATTCCTTTTTTCCGACAAGTTTTTCGCTTTTCTTTTTTTCTTTTTTTTTTTTCTTCCTTTACTTCTTTTCTTCCTCGTGTTAACGCTTGTGTTAACGAGCAGTTTTTGAACACGTCTTGAAAGATTGATATCGATAACGTTTGAAAAGGACAGAAAACGACATGCACGAGCGATTTAATTCTTTTTGCGTCCAAAACGAGAGTACCGACGATTTACGCTGACAAAACTGGTTCTCCGAAGAATGAGTCTTCCTGTTACTCACCCGAACGAGCCACGTGTGTTTTCATTCGGCTTGACGTTCTAAATTCGAAATTTTCGCTACCTGTTAATCGAATACGAAGAGGCTCGTTTGTCGAGAGAACGATGAGTGCCGAAGGACACTTTCCAAAATTCACGTTGTAGATCATGTATTGTCGTTACACGTGCGCGACAAAACGAAAACAGACTCAGATTGGGTTTTATTATTCGAGGACAGCCAAGGAATCACAATAACTTATTCGTTTACGAGATGTCGTCATCCTCTGAATTCTCGATTATCCCTGTTCGCTGATTATGAAATAGAAACCGATCGGTTTAAATAGTCAACTAGGCACACGGTTTTGAGAACCTCTTCTTGCAAAACAATAGCATGCCAGCTAACGTTACAACGATGCAAGCTTGAATTTCGATTACCGTTCGATAAAAAAGGAGGAAATGATTAAAACTATTAGTAAAGTGACTGCGTTTTTCAGCTTATCGTTTTTCAACGATATGTCATTACGGTGGTAAATAACATTGTCGAAAGTTTAACAAAGAAATTATTCAGAGTCACGAGAAGAAATATGTTTCCACGACTGTGTGACGTACACTCTCATATTATCGTTTCTACCCTCAGGAAAAGCTGTGATGCGATCGAAGGCCAGGAGTGGAGAGAAAAGCTGGGTTTGCTTTAGAAGGATCTCCCCGAATTGTTCACGAATGGGGAGAGGCAGTAGACGATCACCACAGAGGGGAGAAAAAAAAATCTCTACTACCTTTCGAAAACCAGTTTAGAAGTTTCACAGATTATACTTCAGATAGTGGTAAGCCGAAAATCGACCTATTTCCTTACATCTGCTGCAAGAAAGAAGGACGATTTCCTTTCGTTTTATCTATGGTCACAATCACCATGGCCACTCAACATGAGTGTAAATCATTTTCCATTAAAAATGATTTGCGCCGTATAAACATATTTTTCTTATCACAATCTTCAGTCCATGGATTGAAGTTTAACTATAATATCATGGTAATTATATTCTAACGACCGTATTATGACCAAACTGTTCTGCCGAGTGACAATTTTCACAAAAGAATATGGGTATATAATAAAAGATTACGCATGGCATAAATTACTTCTCTAATGAGACACTGATTGGATTCTGAGCCCTCGGTATATACATGCAACTGAAGATAATTCGAAGATCGAATGACATCATTTCTTATTCCGACATTCATCACAAAGGCTTTGGACTTGCCATTATTATATTAATCAGGCAATTTCTTTTCCCCTTCGCATTCAATTTATCTCCATAAATCGTTGCCCGTGCAGTGTAAATATATTTTCTCAAGTAAAACTAACCTTAGCGAATAAGGATCCATAGTTGTTGCTTCTTAAACGCTTCTCGTTGGCACGACAACTACACGCTTCTATTTAGCTATTCCTCCTTTTTCCTTTCGTTAACGCGTTAACAGTCAATTTGACCTCTCCCGAAAAGAACTCTTGTCAACTGAGAGCGAGGATCTCGTTCTTGGTCATCATCATCTTATGGCTTACTCTGAAAACAGAAAAATCATCGAATGTACAGTTTTATAACTTTGTCCCAATTGTCCTCTTCGCCGCACGAAAGAAATCGACGCAAGATAATCGAACGTCGCGTGGCAGACGCAGTTCGTTAACTTGCATAATAGTCCGTGCAAAGTACATATTGTCGTCACGAACGTACGTCTCGAAGGAGACCATGGAATACCATAGTTAATGATACGGTAATTTCATAGCTGAAACCACCTTCATGGCAGTCACACTGACTTTCTATGACTTT